ATGATGGAGGGTGGATCTTCTTTCGCTGCTTTAAACCGTTTCATTGGTGTTCTCGTAGATAATTCCAAATAATGGACGGTGTCCATTTTTAGATAATATTTGGCTTCTCACGTTATTTTTGTCGTTTTTGTTGTTGCATGTTAATGAATTGTAAATTTTCCAAGAATATGATTCAAGTATTTTCTTTAGTAGACTATGATGTGATATTTTTATTAAAATAAGTGTTGAATGCGAATCCTGGCCTGCCACGTATCGTGATCGAAAAGATGAGTTTGATGAACACGCGGACGAAATTTAGATATTGGCTCCAATCTACTCAGGTCAGCAGATAGGGTAGGACCTAAAGTATCGAGCCGACCTGAGACAAAGTCCGTAACAATGTCCCTTCCGTATCCGACAACGCGCTGCGATTTTACGGTGTGTCAGAACTCCTGTCGGGCCCAGTTTCTATAAATAGAAACCTTAGCCTTAAATGCAACGTACGCAATCTTAGATACACTCGGCAAGTTAGCTCGGATTAGAACTGACTTGCTCGTTGGAGTGCTAACTCTATTTTGCAGGTCTCAAGAGTGTTCAGGGGGCGTGGACAGTTGGCCGAAGCTAATCCCGTACCATCCGATCTACGTCGTGACTGAGCTCAGCAATTTCGAACTCAAACAATAAGTATAATATTAAATGGTAATTTTGAATGCCAAACAAAGGGTTTAATTATCCTGTCGATTGTCAAGGGTGGCATGTTGATATCCCGCGGTGGAATTGCGAACCAGATCACGAACCCAAGTTGATTTTAGATATTTAATTAAACTTCTCATTTTCTAACTTCACCAAAAACATTGACTTATTTGAAGTTAGTTAATCGTGTAATTCATCAATAATACTATATTAAGCACTCACGAGCAAATTTAAAAACAAGAACTTCATTATATATGTATTTCAAAATCAAGGATCTATTACAAAAAATTTTAAGCACCAAACAAATTAGATATAATCCTAATAATTTTGAGGCTTACTAACCGTCGAGCATTTTTTTCTTTTTTTTTTTATAGCAAAATTATTTTTATCATGTACGTAGGATAATAAAAATTTAGTAGAGAGGTACCAAAGTGAGCATAACTCAACGGTAATTGATATATATCTCCCACTAAGAGATTGTAAGTTTAATCACCAGGACCTATTTTTACAATTAGAGATTTTTGTTGACTTTATCCAACCCCATCCGCTTCCAAACCTAATCCATTCGCTTTATCTTTGGACTTCAACGACTCTCTGTCTTAAATTAATTAAAAAAAATTAAGAATAAAAGTTACATGGTACATTGGTAGGGTAGCATATCCATCTTTAAGTAATTTTTTTTTTTAATATTAGTGTTGAAATATATATATTTAATACGAAAAATCAGTGGAGAAAATAGGATTTCAACTATCATATCAACAAAGATGCATATGTTCATAAGTGGATTTGATTAAATTATAACATTTAGTTCCCAATTGTGTTATCCTCTCCCTCATTGAATTTGAGGCTTCTTGACTCAAATTTGGTCAAATCATTTTGCCCTTACGATTAATGAAATTCTAACTCTTCACTTCGAAAAACACAAGATATTCTTATTATTAATTTATTCATCCAAATTTGAATCTTACAAAGTTCATCAAAGACATGCACAAATTACAGCATTACTAATAAAAAGAATCCAATCCTTCAATTCCCTCCACATTTTACAAACTAAATCACTTGTACAATATATCTATTATCAACCTCTTTCCGTAATATAATCTTGATTTGAGACAGCCCACATGTCGATACTGTCTTCAAGGTTTGATTTGCAGACGACATACAACATCGTCTCCAACACGAGTTTCCACAACAAGAACACCAAGATCAAGAACAGCAACAACAAGTTCAACAACGCGTACATCAATGGAATCATCCGCGACGATAAAAGCATCTCCCTAACAACAGATTCTAACCACATAATAATCCCAAAACTCAAACAAACCACAAACACAACCGTCGTCGCCGCCGTCGCGTTTCCCTTCAGCAGCAACCTACTCTTCGCCATGGCCTTAAACCCACACAAATCTTCCAACACAGACACAACACCCGACAGTTGCAAAACCTTGACCAAATACAACAGCCTTTCGAAGTAAAAAAACGTAAACACAGCCAAAACCGCACCCATAACATCCGCCAACGGCAAAATGGTGGTGAAAATGACCAAAAAGACACATCCAGCTACGATATTATACACCAAGAAAGCTACAACAACACATAGAAATGTGACCAAAACTCGCTTCCAAACCTTGCGTATGGCGATTGCGGCATCTTTGGGGGACGGTTCTCGGCCGGTGTAGATAGCGGCCACGGTGTAAGTGACAGCGACTGTTGAGACCATTGAGTAACCGAAAAGGAAAATGATGCAAAAGACATTGAAGGGCCAAAAGAAGGGCCAATTGTGGGAGAAGAGATGTGAGAAGTCGCCATGTTCATGGATATTTCTGAGGAGGAGGTTTAACGTTCCCATGATATAAGAGAGGATGTAGTTTAGAGGGTGGATGAAGCAAAGAGCTGCCATGGCGAAGATCTTTCTGTTTTTGTTGATGATTTTGAAGGATTCTTTGAAGATTTCTAAGGTTCCAAGGTACTGCATGCTTTTGTGCTGGACATCCATTGGATCCATCTTCTGTGTTTTGTTCAAATGAAGAAGAAGATTTGAAGGAGATGAGGGAATGCTTCAAAGGGGATAAGGGTAAAGTGATGGATCTGTGACCACAAGGAAGAGATATAAATAAAGGTGTCGGCGCCGTGTCGCTGTGGGGTAGGGCTCATTGATTGCATCTATTGATTAAAAAAAAATATTCAAAAGAGAAAAAACAATAATGGTGGTTTGAATAGTCAAGTGAAGAAAAAGTTGTGTTATATTGATTAGTATTCATCATATAATAATGAGAGAGGAGGTTTCTAAAGAAGTTTCCTTATTTTAAAATGTATTTAGAATTAATATAGAGATGAATTCATAACTATTTTGTTTTGTTTTGGTTTCTTTTTTTATTTTTTAAAATTAAGTTTGTACATATTTTTTTCGCTCATATATATCTTTGTTTTTTTCATCTACATTTTAAAAATGTCTCCTAAAATCTAAGCGAAATTTTGAGAGCATATTTAAAATTTGGTATTTTAGAAAAAGGTGAAAACATGTTAAAGAAACTATGATAGCAGTTATGTTTCTACACGCTGATTACTTAAAAATTGACAACCATACAGAGATGAATGCATGAACATAGAGAGAGAAAATATAATAAATAACCGTGAATATTTTCAATAGTGGTAAGTAGGAAGATATCTACTTATTGACAAACAATACCTAATATTAATGTTCACGTATCTTAAAACCAATTGGCTTGAGAGGAGTAGTCCACTTATATTATAAAGCTTTATTAGGTTTCTCATGTTTCAATGGTGAGATCCTTAACACCTAATTTTATCCTATTCCCGAAATCTTGTTAAAATATGTTTTTATGTGCTAATCGTCTCGACCTATTCAACACGTCAATTGGCTACTTTTCCAATATTTTCTATTCAATGAAATTAAACAACAAGAAAAAAGGGAAAAAAACATATTTATTAGGAACTAAAAAATGTTCACATTGAAGGATGACCTATGATGATGTTGATAGAAAGACCTGCCACAAAACGCATCCGATGGAGCAGAAGTCGACTCTTCCCTTGGGGAAAAAATATAAATCAATCGATCCTCCTGTAAGTTCTTCAAACAAGAACTATTTGATTACCACTACAAGGATTATATATACTAGTTCGTCTCAATTTTGGGACTATCTTCTGCAAAAGTAGGTTCAATTATAGTTAGGAATATTACAACAGAGATCTCACTCAAGGTATCACTACACAATGACTACCTTGCTTCTAAGTACCCCAACTCTGACTACCTAGGATTACACATTTGAAAGTACTCTCACTAAATTGATGGGATACAGACTCCTTTTCAAACGCTGCCCACAACCACTCTATCTTTTATTTGGATTCTATACAAATAAAATTTTAGTAAAAGGAATTTATTTATAGGAAGCCAAATACCCTAATCCTTATAGGAAAACAATATTGTAATCCTTATAAGACAAAGATATCCTACTTCTGTAAGAATTCGTAGTAGTGTTGAAATATTTTTCCTCGTAGGACACGGGTAATCTGTTTTGGCTCCATTATCCCAACATAATCTCGAACTTGGAGACAAAACATCAATCTTGTCTCCCACTAAAACACCAGTCTTTGATAATCTTGGAAACCTCCAAAGCTTCTTTTGCAACAACTTCGGATCTTCTTGAAAAATCTTCAATGCTTCTCCTGCCAGTTAAATAACTTGTAAAACAAAATATTAGAAATTATTGCTCTCATCCGCCTTTGCCCTGAGGTAAGGCAATATATGTGGTCTTGTCTCCCAGATGTAAATGGCACAACCACATGCTCCCACTCAAACTTAGTGGCGATATCTGAAGCTTCCTTCTAACACTAATTATTGGAGAAATAACTTCTCACTGATGACTTGACAAACTGTATTCAAGCCTGCTACCAAAATTGAAAATCCAATCTTTACCTTAAAACCTACTGGGTTCGTGCCGCCACCGGATCTGCTATCGGGATGGTTGCTCGTCGTTGGATCTGTTACCAGAGGAGGTCGTGAAAGAAGCGTCGGAGCCAGAGGTGTATGCCGCTAGAAGCTGCTGGAATGTCGCCGTAGGTGTGCGTCGTCACTGGAGTTCGTAACTACTGCAATTTTCGCCAATGTAGGTGTCGAAGGTTCTATCATCAAAGGTTGTTCGTCGGAGTGGTGCTGAAGTACTATGGTTGCCGTTCATGCCACCGCCAGGTCTGTCGTCAGGATGGTTATTGCTTGTCGCCTGATCTACTGTCGGAGGTTCTGCCGCAACCTAACGTGTCGCCAGAATATGTTGTTGGAGTTCGGAATGTCGGGTGCCACCAGAGGTGAGAAGAAGGGAGAAGAGGTAGAAGATAAAAGAATATGGTGGGGTTGTAGAAAGAGAAAAAATAGAAAGGAGAAAAGAAAAACAAGGTGGCTGTGGAGGAAAATAGTGGCAGTTTTAGAGAGAGAAAATAGAAATGAGAAAACAAAAAACAGGTGGATATGGAGGATAATGGTGGGGCTTTAATCAGAGAGAGAAATAATGAGAGGAATAAGGAAAAAAAGCTAGGGTTTTGGGTAGTGAAGAAGAGAGAGAAGTGAATTTTTCTAATAAGAAACTTGTTTATGCAAGGATATGCACAACAGTGTATTTCAGATTGCAGCTCGAACTCGGCTTCCGGACCGATCTGAATACTTGGGCGGACCTGCACAAAAAGGTGAGCACTCCAACGATCAAGTCAGTATAGGTCAGATTCCCAGTTTAGTTCGAGGTCAAAAATCATCGTACCTGATCGTGGAGTGAGGTCCTCTACTTATGGGTGGTAGTCCCGCTAATCTCGCGACGGTTACACCCGGTAATCTCGGGACCGTCGGTTACACCCGGTAATCTCGGGACCGACGGTTACACCCGATAATCACGCCGCTGACAGTAGCTCACATCGGCCCCTACCGAGCTTCCCGGTAGGTCGGACCTCGGCCAGATTCACCTCGGCCCTCATACTTAGCATCTGTCAACGCTAGTGGTGGTGATCTCGGCCGTCCGAGCTGGGCATGACTCATGGGTCACCTTGGGGCACCAATGGCTGTCCTCCACATGTCCAGAGTATTCTTTCCCCCAAACAAAACTTTTTTCAATCTACTACCTTCACCACTTCATTCTGATCTGCTATGCTTTGTTCCTCCCTTTTCCTTCCGAAGTAATCTGTTAAATACGTAAAAATGGCAACGATAATATGGGAGGGTCAACAAAGTTTAGAGTAAAAAAGGGAGGAGGAGCGTGAAAGAATTCCACGTTCTGGACTTTGACAAAGGGAAAAAAATCAGTTTCTTTTTACTTAAAAATAAGTGGAAAGACATCACTAATAAATGATGTCAAAATAAGTAGAAAAGCATAAAGCGAGATTAGTTGCGAAAGATTAAAGAAAAGATATTGATTATGATGAAGTATTTGTTCTTGTTGCTTGCTTGAAGACCATAAGATTGATGATTGCACTTGCTACTCAAGATAGATGAAAACTTTTTAAATGGATATCAAATCAACATTTTTGAATGGATATCTTGAAGAAAAAGTGTACTTAGAACAATCTCTTGGTTATGTGGTGAAAGGCAAGTAGATAAAGTTCGAAACTTGAAGAAAGCGTTGTATGGGTTGAAACAAGCTCCAAAGATGTGAAATAGAAGAATTGACAAATATTTCTATGACAATGGGTATTTAAGATGCCCACATGAGTATTCTTTTTATATGAAGATTAATGATCATGGAGATATTTTGTTGGTTTGTGTCTGTGATGTGCATGACTTGATTTTTATATGAAATTGTCCAAACTTGTTTGATGAATTCAAGAAGGCGATGATCTAAGAATTTGAGATGACAGATAATAGCCTTATGTCGTATTATCTTGGTATCGAGATGAAGCAATTAGATGAAGGGATTTTCTATCTATCATGAATGATACACTAGAGAAATCCTTTAGAAATTTAAGAATGATGTTCAATTCTAAAACAATTGCAACTCCGATTTAAATTGGAATAAAATTGTCAAAATATGAAGATGGAGATATTATTGATCCTTCATATTTCAGAAGCTTTAATGGGGAGATTGAGATATTTAACGTGCATAATAATTGATATTCTTTTCAATGTTAGATTGGTGAGTCGGTTTATGGAATCTCCTACAACTAATCATTTGAAAGTAACAAAGAGAATTCTTTGATATCTCAAGAGTACGCTGGATTATGGATTATTTTATTCTTCATTGGGAGAATTCAAACTTGAAGGTTATTGTGATAGTGATTGAGCTGGAGAACTTAATGATCGAAAAAGCACAAGTGGATTTGTGTTCTTTATTGGTAATATTGCTTTTAACTAGAGTTTTAAAAAGCAGTTATTGCGACACTATCTATGTAGATAGATAGTATACTTGTGATTGAACTGATATTTTTTTATTACATCGGTTTTTTTTTGGTCCGATATTAAAAACCAAATTTATAGCATTGATTTTTTTCTTTTTTTGTCCAACATTAAAACCCAAATTTATACCCAAATTTATAGTAGTATACTTACAGGTTGAATATGTTATTGCATCATCATATGTGTGTGTCATGCAGTTTGGTTGAAGAATTTGTTGATGGCAATTGAAATTGTGCAAGAAGATGCAACTGTCATCCATGTGGACAATAAGTCAGCAATTGCTCTAGTGAAGAATCTGGTGTTCCATGATCGAAGTAAGCATATTGATACAAGATTCACTTCATCAGAGAATGCATTTCAAGAAAGGAGATTCAAATCGATTATATTAGATATCCAATATATGAATTAAATTTACCCCAATCCACCAGCGAGGTCCTGTGTTTGAATCCCTGCGTAGTCGTTTCCTCCCTATTTATTATGATTTCCACTTGTTGGGTCTTGATGTTGCTTTTGGGGTTGAATGGTCGTTTGTTCATCTTTAATAGATTATGTGAAGACTAGAGATCAAATTTAACAAGTTTAAGAATTTAAATAGAGTTATGAAGAAGACATGTTGGGAGGATTTGGAAATTAAACATGTACATTCCTAAGATACATAATACATGTACATAAACTAATACTTTATCGTATGTTTGTATATTTAGTATTTTAATATGAACTAATTGGATTCATGGGATCATCAGATTTATTATATGGATTTAGGTCCTTTCGTGGAATCTTATAAATAGGATGATCTTTCAATGTATTTTAAACAAATGTGTGGAGAAGAAAAACAAAGAGTTTGAGATAGCTATTAGACAAGTGTTTATTCTGTGAGAAATTTTAATACAACTGAAGTTGTTTATTCTCAAACAAGTCTTGTTGTTTCTAAATTTGTAAGTGTCTATCACACGCTTCCAACAACACACATGCACTAATTAAAAAGAATCCAATCGTTCAATCTCCACAATTGTTTCCCTCCACATTTTACAAAAACTAAGTCACTCTTGTACATATATTTATATCATCACACATACAACCCCTCTTGATCTCCATTATTCAAAGACCAAAACAATCAGTTCAATGTGGTACTCAATGGAATATAATCTTCATCTGAGAGAACCGACATGTCGATACTCTCTTGAAGGTTCGATTTACAGACCAAATACAGCACCGTCTCCAACACGAGCTTCCATAACAAGAACACCAAAACCAAGAACACCAACAACAAGTTCACCAACGCATGCATCAATGCAGTCATCCATGGCCAAAAAATCATCTACCTAGCAACAGATTCTAACCACATAATTATCCCAAAACTCAAACAAATCACAAATACAATCGTGGCCGCCGCCGCCGCCTTTCCCTTCAACAGCAACCTACTCTTCGCCATGGCCTTAAACCCACACGACTCCTCAAACACAGACACAACACCCGACAATTGCAAAACCACAACCAAATACAACAACCCAACGAAGTAAAAAACCAAAAACACAGCCAAAATCGAACCATTAACTTCCCCGAACGGCCCATGTTTCATAATGGTGGTCCAAATAATAAAAAACAAGACAATTCCAGCTATAATGTTATACACCAGGAAAGCTAAAAGAACACAGAGAATTGTGACCAGAACTCAGTTCCAAACCTTGCCTACGAGGCTGGTTGTGCCCTTGGGGGATGGCTCTTGGCCGGTGTAGACGGCAGCGACGGTGTGAGCCACGGCGGTGGTGGAGACGATAGAATAACAGAAAAGGAATAGGATGTTGATGACGTCGGAGGGCCAAAAGAAGGGCCAATTGTGGGAGAAGAAATGTGAGAAGTTCCCATGTTCAAGGAACTTTCTTAGGAGGAGATTTAAGGTTCCCATGAAGGAATAGAGGTTGAAGTTTATGGGGTGGATGAAGAAAAGAGCTGCCATGGTGAAGATCTTTCTTTTTTTGTTGATGATTTTGAAAGTTTCTTTGAAGATTTCTAAGGTTCCAAGGTACTGCATGTCTTTGTGCTTAACATCCATTGGATCCATCTTCTGTTTTTTTTCCGGACTGAAAAGAAGAAGATTATATCACTACAGGAATTAAGATTTTTCCCGACGTCTCAAAATATTGGGAAAAGACGTAAAAACGTCGGAAATATTTATCCCGACTCGGGAAAAACATTGGGAGAAGTCGGCCGGGATAGAAAGGTGACAAGGAAAGGTTCGAATGGCAAGGTTTCTGTAGCTAAAAAGAAGAGATATAAATAAAGTTGTTGGCGACGTATCGCCATGGGGTAGAGCTCATTGATTGAATGAACCTATTGCTCAAATTAAGGAAATATTCAAAAGAGAGAGGAAATAAAAAATGGTTGTTTGAACAGTAAGTGTAAGAAAAAGTTGTCTTATATTGTTTAGTATTCATTATATAATAATGAGAGGGGAGGTTTCTAAAGAAGTTTCCTTATTTAAAAATGACTTATCCGCAATCGTAATGGAAATCAATCGTAATAAAATTAATCAAAATCGTAATGTTATTCTATTAATGTTATTTACCAAAAATTTTCTGGAATCTTAATCAGAATTTCTTTGATTTTGTTTACTAAAATTGTCTGGAATTGGATATATAACAATTACTAATATACCATTTTCTCCATTTTAGTTAATTACAAATATATTATTGTGCTAATCTTTTTTAAATTACAATAATAATAAATTTTAATTTAATTTATTACTGTATTATTGATAGTAAATATTTTTTATTATAAAAATTTATCTAATATTAATAGATAATTAAAATAAAATTACATCATTATTAGAACAACCAAACTTTAATAAAACATATTATTAAGTTTTATTATTCTAATATTTAAAAGTAGTAATATCTATTTATTGATATTAATTAATATTAATTTATTATATTATATAATAAAATCACATCAACTCATAAAAATAGTAGAAATAGGAAATAAATTATAAAAGTATAAAAAAACTAATTAAAAATTATATGAATCTAATTATACATGAGAGAGAAAGGATAAAAGTGGTACATTAATAATAATATATATATGGGGTCCTCGGAATGAGAATGAGATTATGAGGTTGTAGAAGTGTAATGGGATTACACCTTTTACAAAGTTTGAGGGTTCCACCATTTGATTACATTCTTACAAGTTGGTAAACATCATCAAAGAGAATCAAACTTCTTATTACGATTTATTGATTACGATTACCGGTAAGTAAACGGCTCTTAGATTTAATGTAGCTAGAGTTGATTGACAACTATTTTGTTTTCCTTTTAATTTTTTCAACTTAAGTTGTATATTTTTTTTCTCATATATTTCTTTGATTTTTTTTATCTAACTTTTAAAAATGTTTCTAAAATCTAAGCCAAAATTTGAAATGATATTTAAAAATTGATTAGGAAAAGGTGAAAATATATTAAAGAAATTGTCCTCAATTAAAAAATTGACAACCATATATATAAGAGAAGAATGTATGAAGACAAAGAAAAAATAGAATAAATAACTCCGAATATTTTTAGGAAAAGACTTGACTCCTCGTGAGTATGATATGGCTAAATAATAAAGTGACATGTGTGTTGCCTTTAAAATTTTTCTATTATTTTATTAAAATTCATATCTGATCGAGATCGCTTTAATTTATACTTTTTTTCAAAACCAAGGTTTCTCCTCCCCTCTTCTGTCATTCTCTCATCTCCCTCTTTTTTCTTGGTTTTGGAATACATCTCCTTACTTTTTGTATCCAAGTTATAGAATTGGTAATTCACAGGTATACAATAAGTTTTTGCTTTTTATTTTCCTTATCCTTTATAGTTTTTCCTCATCTTTTAAATGAAATGCTACATATATTTTCAATCCTTTGATTAAATTGGGAGGTCCTTAGCAACAATGTGAGAAACACATCAACAACTTTGATTGGCTACTTTATGTGTCTAGTCGCGTCTAGACCTATTCAACACGTTGATTGGCTACTTTTCCAATATTTATATCCAATGAAATTCAACAAGAAGAAAAAAAGCAAACAAGAAAAAACCATATTTATTAGAAACTAAACAGTCCACGTGAAAGGATGGCCCATGATGATGTTGACTTTAAATTGTTTTATGCAGGAACCATATCTTATAGACAACCATTTTCAACTTTCAATAATTTATTTAATTACTTTTCTACTCTTTTTAAATTAGATTTTAATATTTTGGGTAGGTAGTCCGGGAGGCACTCATTTCATTATACCAATCTGTAGTCTGTTGAAACCAACTCAAGACTCAGTATATCTAGGCTTTACCCAAAGGGTTAAAGGTTAGAAACCGGCGTATAAAACCAATTTCTAATTTTGTATTAGGAGGGATTTTGAAAGATTCACCTTGTAAACTTGTGCTGTGAAATAGAAAAATTTTCTCCCTACAGTGGATGAAGGCCGTGTGCCGAACCACTTTAAAAGATTGTTGTTCTTATTCTCCTTCCCTTTCATTTTCTCTCTTATCTTCATCTGTCTTCTTCGTCTTCTTTGTGA